TTGGCTGCTTCTGACTAGAAAGATTTTAGATTTATATCAGCAACATCTCAAAGCACATACTGAGGCTTTTCAGCCACTGTCATGAGAAAAGCTGCCTGATTTTGGGGGTACAATCCAAGTATTTATTTCCCATAAGGCTGCAAAATGTCTTGGCAGAAATAGTGCCCAGGTATTGGACTAACAGATTCTTCCAACTCTCTTGCCTGTCTCAAAGGTCATTCACAGAGAATGAGTGGTACACACCTCATCCTGAACAACAAGAAGCAGCACCAGTGAATTTTATCACATGAATGCACAATGCACATGAACAGTCTTTGCCCTCATGTTCCTAAGATCAAAATTTAAAACTTCTTGGGACACATGGCACTGACAAACTCCAAAGCTCACACTACAAAACATTCAAATGACATTTACTTTTGCTGTTTCTGCATCTACTGTGGAAACGAAACTTCAAAACTCAATTATCAATTGCCATTGAAGAAGTATGTTTGTGTACTGCTCATTTCCATGGCTTTGAAGAGAATAAAGCTCGTGATAGTAGCCTGCAACTAGAAACTGCCACCTAAGTTTCACAGAGAATTTTGGTAAAGCCAGAATGTGACATCACCTTAAATCCCAACCCCAGTGCAGTCAAGGAAAATTCCCATTAGCTTCATGAGCATCTGGATTTCTTACACTGTTGTTCTGGGTTTACATGGCAAGGTTTGGCAGTGGGAGGGCTGCAGGGGTGGCTTCTGTGAGAAGTTGCCAAAAGCTTCCCCATGTCTGACAGAGCCAGTGCTAGCCAGCTCTAGGACAGACCCTGCCCTGGCCAAGGCAGAGCCCATCAGTGATGGTGGTGGTGGCCTCTGGGATCATAAGAGTTAAGAAGAGGAACAAGTTACTGCGCAGGAGGAAACTGCAGCCAGAGAAGACAGGAGTGAGAATATGTGAAAGAAACAGATCTGCAGGCTCCAAGGTCAGTGCAGAAGGAGAGGGAGGAGGTGCACTGTGCACTGGAGCTGAGATTCCCCTACAGCCCATGGTGAGGCAGCTCTGCCCCTACAGCCCACGGAGGTTAATGGTGGAGCAGAGATCCACCTGCAGCCTGTGGAGGATCCCACACTGGAACAGGGGCATGCTGTGGATGCCATGACCCTGTGGGAAGCTCACACAGGAGCAAATTTACTGGCAGAGCTTGTGACCCCACAGAGGGCCCATGCTGGAGCAGTCTGTGCCTGAAGGACTGTACCCAAAGGGAGGGACTCATGCTGAAGCAGTTTGTGAACAGAAGCCCATGGGAAGGACTTATGCTGGAGAATTTTTTGGAGAACCTTCTCCCATGGAGAGACCCCTTGCTGGAGCAGGGGAAGATTGTGAGGAAGAAGGAGCAAGAGACAACTGACAGATGAACTGACCACAATGCCCAGCCTCTCCCCCTGAACCACTGGGGGAGGGGGAAAGGTAAAGAATTCAAGTGTATAGCTAAGCCTGGGAAAAAGAGAAGTACGGTGGGAAGACATTTTTAAGATTTGGGTTTATTTCTTATTATCTTGACTTTGACTTCCCTAAGTCAACTCTGTTTTGCTTGTAACAGTAACTTGTGAGTGATAGCTCACTGTGCTTATCTTGACCCATGAGACTTACACTTTATTTTCTCTCCCCTGTCCAGCTCAGGAGTAATAGAGCAGCTTTAGTAGGCACGTGGCATCCAGCCAGGGTTAATCCACACAACTGTACAGACAAATGTAAACGGTAGCTTTTTTTTGAACTAAAGCAATGCAGGGAGTTGCAGTAAAAAGAAAAGATGAAAGAAAGCTACAGGATAAGAGAAAAACTCTCCCAAGAACGGATTTGTCTTTGACTGACGGAATCAGAACATTTGTTTCACATGCCACGCCCACAGCAAAGGGTTGGCTTTTAGTTCTTATAGTCTAACACCTAAAATATGGGCTATAGAAATAATAGTCCATTTCCAGATCTTAGGGCCTGTTTTTTCAATCTACTTACAATAAAGGGGGAAAAAGAAAAAAGCAGAACTGCTTCCAAGAAGAAAAAAACAAAACTATTGTATAACTCTGACAGGTTGATAGTTTGAAATGATTCAGAAGTCCAGGAGCCTGCCAGCAGCCAGATCAGCAGAGATCCAAAGCTGAGATGCAAAACTTACCTAGCTCCTTAAGCACTCCCGGAGGAGTCAGTGTCCAGAAAAACAACTAAGAGCTTGTGCTAATCTATGAATGCATAAATGTAAAATAACTTCAATTAATGCAAATCATGTTGTGACAGACAACCTAACAGCATGGAAGCTGCTTGACCAACATATGTTGATTTGTATAGAAAGACTGTGGTTTCTGGAGTGTTTCCAAGTGAGTTAAAAAAGGCTGTCAACCTGTCTGTTTCAGCTGGAGGCACAGCAATGGCAGCTTGTGAAACATCCCACCTGAAAAGCATTCCACCACTTCTTCCCCTGACACACGGTGCAAAATCTGTAGAACCACTGGATTTTTTTCTCGTGCTTGTTTTGCATTAAATAAACTGACTTAACCAATAATGAATCCTGCCATCCTCACTGATGAGGTATAAGAAAGAAACTGGGAAGTACCAAATGTGCAGTGCAGAATAAAAACACCCAGCCAGCTTTTTTTTTGCATTAACACTCAATCACCCATATACAACACTGACCCAGTCTTGTAATCCTTCCAAAGCCAAAACTGCCAGTTAGCATCCAAGGAGCATTTTAGGATGAAGAAAAGGGTGCAGCATTGCCAATCAACTGGTCCTGATCCTGCAGAGAGTTACACACAGATTTAAACACTGTTCACAGGACTAGCCCCACTTGTAATGCCAACATCTGCAGTGTAAACTGAGTGCTTGCTTAATTAACTGCAGGAGGAAGGCAAAATCTCTGTCCATTCACTGTGTTGTCACAGGGTGAAGAGTTCTGGCACAGGGAATCGGGCAGGAATGTATGGCCAGGCTAGGGAAAGAGCAGGGTCCCTTCCTGCTCAATGAGAGCTCAGTCACACATCAGGTTAAACTGGTTGTCAAATCCTGAACTGCTATAAAGTAATTCTTCTTCAGTGAAAGGAACTAATCATGCCTGCTCGCTGACAAAACAACACTGAGACCAAACATGAAGCACAAACAATAGGTGATGACAATTTCACTGAAAAATGAAACACCAAGAGTAAAAATGTCATGTCCTGAGAAGGCTAATGAGATATAATACAATGAAAATGAGCTCATTTTTAAATGGGTATTTTCAAGGATGTGAAGTGGCATAAAATGACTTCTCTGCTTCTGTTCAGAGGCAAGAAACAGACTCCCAACTGCAATGCTGTATAGTGTCAGTAGGGACAAACAGAAAAATCCCTGCAAAATCCACAAAGGATCCCACCAAGAAAAAAAAAAAGGTATTAAAAAAAAGTTTAATTCTACCTTAAAAGAAATTGCAGGATTTTCTTTCATGTTTTATTATACCCTTCTTTAGCAGTCAGCTGCCCCTAATATCCTCTTGCAACAGGATACTACAGGATGCTGAAACCCCTGGTAAGTAGGATCTGGATGCAGTCATCTCACCACATCGTTGTCTCTATGGTAACCTAGGCCAGCCCTAAATACTATAATCCTGCTTTACTACAGTAAAGCCAGTTAATGACTTTAATTGAATGTTCCTGCCAAATAATGGTGCTCTAATATTTATTGACATTTCAAGTCTGTCCATCTCTTTGGACTATTTGTTATATGGAAAAGCGATGCAAACGCAGCTTTTTTAAAAGAAAGGAAGCTACTACAGATTTCAGCTTTTTGGTATTATCAAGGTGCAGTCCTGCAAACTCCAGCTTCTAAGTGGCACCACTGACTTCAGAGGCTCCACTGACAGGAGCCAGTCCTGCAGAGCACAGAGGAGCTGGGCAGGCACGGGAGCAGTCCTTGGCTCTTGGCAGGTTCTCATCAGACAGTGCCATTGGCAGTGGATGACCAGAGCATCCCACTGGCATGCACTGGATGTCCTAATTAAAGAGTGAATAAATGCTGTGTGATGGGGCCTGGGAAGAGGAGAACACAGAACAAGTAGGATGGGCCAAGCAGTTAAACAAGGGAGGAAATATTGCTTTGTCAATACCACTGACAATTTAATTATTATTTTCCATGAATATTCCACTTAATTCCTTTCTGGGAGACAGATGGTTAAGTCCCTGGAAAACAGAGAAGCCCTTTTGCTCCTCAAATCATACAGAAAGATTGTTCTATTTTATTGCTATTCTACTTTTTTATTGCCCTACTTTTTTTTCCCTAGCTTTTTTTCTCCAGTTTTCTATTATTTAGTTTAATTATTGTGGAAAAGCTTTACAAAATATTATTATTTCTAGAGGGTTTTATTTTTTCCTGATAGGTGAAAAAAGCTGGCTATAGGATTTAATGCTATCATTTTCGGTGCTACACGTGTGTAAGTTTGGATTCAGAAGTCTGCTTTTTGTTGCTTTAAATCACCAGACATAAAAATCTACCTACTGAAATTCAGTACAAGTTTTTTTGAAGCATCTTCCACCCTGCCAAATCCTGCACGCGTATGCTCAGCCGGGCTCGCGTGTGCTTTCAGTAGGATGGGGTAGCACGCCATGAAGAATTTATAGCGGGAAGCAATCTCCTGCTCTTACACATCCCTAAACGTTAGTGTAGAGAGTCATTTAGATTTTTAATAGGTCAGGATAAAAAATATAAATAAATAAAGTACGCAAGCATCAGGGTTGGCTCCTCTGCGACATATGGAGAAGGGATACGGGGGTATGCCCGGCCTCCCCGCTGCCCAGAGGAGGCGGATTACGGGGGCCAGAGGAGAGAGAAAAGAAACACGATTAAACCTGACAGCGCTCCAAAAGCCCCTCTCACACACACGCGGCCACCGTGGCTCCACGGCGCGGTCCCTGCCGCAGACATCGGCAGATGCCGGCACCAGCCCTCCCCGCGGGCTCCGCGACCCCGGCCCCGCTCCCGCCCCGCTCCTCCCCGCTCACCTCTCGGGGCGCTCCCGCCGCGCACGGCCCCGCGCAGGCAGCGCGGCGATGCCAGGCGAGGCAAATGGCTGAAGCGCGGGGGCCGGGCTGGCGGAGGGGCCGGGCGGGCGCGGGGCCGCGCTCAGCCCCTTTGTTCGCCTGGCAGGCGGAGGGAGGAGCGGGCACGGACCTGTTGCTGCTGGCGGCGGCTGCCGGCCAGGGGCAGCGGCCGAGCGGGGAACGCCGCGGGC